GGAATCCTGTGTATATGTAGGGCCTGGGATATATGGGAAATCTTTATGTATCTTCTGCATAATTTTGGTATGGACCTAAAACTGCTCTAAAAATAAAGTTTTGTTACTGGTTTTGTGTTAAAGAAAGAGGTAAACCTAATTATACTGACATGGAAATTTTTCTGAAAATGGAAAATTGAAAGGCATTCCATAGAGGGTCATCCCATCTGTGTTTTGAAGTGTTATCCATACTCATCTGTATCTGAAAAGGACGCAAAAGAATAAGGCAGAGGGATGCATACGAGGGTTTTACGGGTGCCATTTCTGGACGGAGTTGTGGAGAAAGCACAGAGCTGAAGAGGCAAAGGGGATCTTCTTACACGCTTCTGCATGGTTCCGGTCTTTTAAAATAAGAGTATGTTTGTATTTTAAGCTTTTGAGAATATACTTATATATTACTTATAACAAGTGTTTTTGAAATAATAATTATATATGCTTATTATATTAAAATAACTTAGTAAATGCATTTCATAATTCACAGATAACTATTGTTTAAATTTTGTCATTTTCTTGCAGTTTTTCTGGTGTTGCTTTTTGAGGTTTTTTGTTTGTTTGTTTATCATAGAGAAGCTCTCTTTTTTTTTTTTTTTTTTTTTTTGAGAAGCTCTCATTGAGTTGTAGTTTTGTTTCCAGATTCTTAAAACTTGGCTTTATTCTGTGAGAATTTTTCATTGTCATTAAAAATTCTTTGGACACATCTCTTTTGGCTGCATAATTGTAACACATCCATACTATGAAATACTGATTTAATATTTCTCTAATTTGGAGATGATTACATTGCTCCCATCTTTTTGTATAAGTGTATCTTTAGAGCATTCATTATTTATGGTCAGTTCATAAGTAGAACATTATCTTTCATTAAAAATGTAAATTTTAAAGTTGTAGATGTTCTAACAAGACTTTAAATACATAAATAAATAAAGCAGATTCTTTTTTAAGCACAGACAAAACCATAGCACCCATGTTTCCACAGTGTAGTAATTAACTTTAGTACCACAATCGACTGATCTAGTTGCTCTTGCTATCGTTATCTCTTTTCCTCATTCCCTTAACATTCTTTCCTACCTATGAAAACTTGATATTCTCGCCCTAATACTTTGAAATTTCTTTATTTCTAGAAAAGAGCAAATCAGAATTCTAACACAGCCAGCTTGAATCAACCTTTCTGTTTCTTTTATGAGTAGGCAGTTCCTCAAGGCAGTGAGTTACCCTTTAGAAAAGAGGGCATTATGTTTCTCTACCCTGAATGTCTGGAATAGGTGGCCTGGAATGCATTCAAAGGGAAGCATTGTGTCAGATCTCAAATCTAAAGATGAAATCCTGTTTTTTTACTAATTATAGTTTTTGTTGTGTTGCAGCTGCTGCTTTTTGTTTTGAGTTACTAGACTTCGAAAAATTATTATTTGCGGGGCTGGGATTTAGCTTAGCAGCAAAGTGCCTGCCTGGCAAGCACAAGGTCGTGAGTTCGATTCCTGGTACTGGAAGAAAAAAAAAAAAATTATTTGCTTTAGTGAAATTTGGGAATGGATTTGTTGCTACTGGTATATGGTTGGTTTCATATTATAGAAATCTACCAGAAGAATTTGGTCTTCAAAGTCATCCTGTGGTGTATATCTTTTTTAAATGCAGGGAACAACCTTATTTTTATTTTTGCAAATGTGGATTTTTTTTAATATTTCTAAATAAACATTGCTCTTTACTAGTTTAGGCTGCAGTATTTAATGATATTTCATTTTTAACTTAATAAACTAGATATTTTCCCACATAGTAGTATCATGTGTATTTTAGTTGGATTTGTTACTACAAGGAAACATGTTTCTGTTTAGATCAGTAGTTCTTAAAATTGTGGTTACTACAATCAGCATGATTTGGCATCACCTGGGAACATGTCAGAAATTCAAATTCTAGGGCCCTACCCTAGTTGTACTATTAAGAAACTCCTGTATTTTAACAAGGCTTTTGAGTTATCCTGATACATGCCAAACTTCAGGGACTACTGGGACATGTGATACATACACTGAGCCTTATGGCTTATATCTAGTTGTCCCCCCAAAACCTCATGTTCTCGTAGGTGGGGCTTTCTGGGAGAGACTGGATCATGAGTGTATGATACTGGATCAGTCCATTGATTGGTTTAGCATCATTCTGGATATGGATGATGGATTTACTGAAGAGGGAGATCCACCCTGGGTGTGGGTGGCACCAACCAATAGGCTTGCAGCTTGGCTAGAGTAAAAAGGGAAAGAAGAAAGGCTAGCTACTTCCTGTCTGCCATGCCATGCCAGGAACCGTTTCTCCTCTGCTGTGCCCCCCTACCTTGGAACTAGCTGTGTTGAAACCTCTACAAACTGTGACCTAAAATAAACTTTTCCTCCTTTAAATTGTGGATGTCGGGTATTTTGTCCCAGCAATGAGAAACTAAGATACCATGGCTAAAAATCTCAGCATTTCTGCCTGGGGCCTGGGTTTGGTGTAATTCCAAAGTGCGTATTAGAGATGATAGCAGTAGTGCTTCTAGTGGCTGTGAGGATGAAAAACTGATAGTAAGGACAGCCTAACAAGAGCTGTATTCATTATTTCCAGTGGTAAGATCTCAAGAAGTACGCAGTGAGCCAAGAATCTTTCACTGTTGAGTCAAAGCAAACTATTTCAGCACTTAGGATAATTAGCAGAAGCTTTCCTTTGATAACATCATTTGTGCCTCCCTCTATTACTAAGAAATGTACATGACAACTCATGCATGTAGTGCTTCACATTCAAAGTACGTAAGATTGTTTTCAGAATTAAGGAATTGTTGAATGAGCTCTCTTCCAAATGCTTTTAAGTTATAAATAATAAAAACAGACATAATACCTGAAAAAACACGTCATTACTAGAATTAAGATATATGTCCCCCAGCTATTGGTTTTATTTTATATAATTATTACCTTTTTGGGTAATATCTTCCTGGTTGGTTGTTTTAAAACTTTTTTAATATTAAAAAAAGTGTGCTTTACTTGGAAAAATCTTTTACTTCTAAATTTAATTGTTATATTCATTTTAAAATTACTTCAGGTGGGTCCTTCAAGGTAGAATATTAACTTTTTAAGCATGGCTTTATTTTATAAATAAGAGCCCTTGTTAAAAAGAACTAGATCTGCATGCTAAATTTAGGGCTTCAAAGCTTAAGTCTAAGCTTAAGCTTAAGTTGGCTCTAAGTCTAAAAGGTTTTTTTTTCTTTTTTTAATATTTGTTTTAGGAGGCTAGTTACACTCAAAAAGAGATACAGCTGGTTTGGTGATAGTGTCTCTTTGGCACTGCTGATAGATCTTGTTCATGCTATGTATTAGAATCAGTGACTAAAGAACTAGTCAAAAAGAAAGTTTACAGCATTGCCTATGTATATTGGGAAGTATAAGGTATCCCAAGACCAGGGTGAAGCTACCAAATTTTTGAAGGAAGTATTTCCAAATTTTAAGCAGAAGGGCATCTAAATATTATTCACCTTGTCTGTTTTACTAATTATATCATAAAATTTCAGTTTTTCGTATGCTAATAGAAATTAAGTTCATCCAATCATTAATTACTTATTTCCTAAATGTTTATAACTCAGGAATGAGAAAGGTATAGACTATATTTTAAGGAGGTTCTAATCCAATCAAGAGTAAAATTTCTGACTAGTTTATAGTAAAATATGTGGTGGAGAATTTAGTGGTGGGAATTTCCTGTGATTTAGTCATGCATCCAGATGAGGTTAGTAAAGTTGAGAAGGGGACTCTGTTCTGACATTAGCCAGTCCATTCTGGTGCAGGCCTAGTCAATGCTAATGAGCATTTCTTGTCTATAGTCTCCTTATGCTAGTATGATTTAATCCATTGCCACATATACTTTATCTACTATTTAAGATGATGAAATACTTAAACTGATGAGTTTTAAGGTACATAAAACATACTTAAATTGAATATGTAGTGTGCAGTTCTTCATAAAGTACTTTAGAAATTTTAAGCATTACATTTATTATTGACTGTTCGTGACACAAATTCTACTACTACAGACTTCAAAGAAATAGTTTAAAGTTAGGCCTGGTAGCACACACCTATAATCCCAGCACTCTGGGAGTCCAAAGCAGGAGGAACAAAAGTTTGAGCCCAGCCTGGGCAGTTCAGTGAGACAAGTCTTAAAAATACAAAAGTGCAAAGTTCCTAGGTTCAATCCCCAGTACTGGAAAGGAAGAAAAAGGAGGAGAAGGTAGAGAGGGAGGGAAGTAAAAGAAAGAGTTTAGTCAGAAGTAAAATGAAATTTGAGAGAATTTAGATAAAATATAATTTCAGGGGTTTTTTTCTGTTTTTTTTGTTTTGTTTTTTTACACTGCTAGAGATCAAACCCATGCTCTTGCCCATTATAGACAAGTGGTCTACCACTTAGCCACATATATCTCTAGCCCTTTGTACTTTTTATTTTGAAACAAGTTCTCACTAAATCTCCAAATTGCTCAGTCTGGGTTTCAACTTGCAGTCCTCCTGCCTGCTCTAGTGCTGAGATTATAAGCATGTACCACCACGACCTGCGTGAGGTAGAGAACTTAATATGTGAAGACTATCCAGAAAAGGCAGAAGATTGTTCATTTTCTTGTATAAGAAAATACTCAAAAGTTTTTCAGTCTGTTCCAATAATTCCTTGTCCTTGGGTGTTTGTTTTTGTCTTTTCAAATTAAAAAGCTAGTTCCTGGTTTAGTTTCTGTGGTGTGTGTGTGTGTGTGTATGTATGTCTGACATAGAACTGGGCCCAAGACAAGTTCCATTTTGTCTTCATAAACTCTGTGTCAAGAAAGTTCATTCAGGGGCTGGGGATTTAGCTCAGCGGCAAAGCGCCTGCCTGGCAAGCACAAGGTCGTGAGTTCGGTTCCCGGTACCGGAGAAAAACCAAAAAAAAAAAAAAAAAGAAAGAAAGTTCATTCATTTTACTTGTTTTTGATTCTCTAGTTGTCTGAAGGAAGCCAAAAACATGCAAATCTACAGAAAAGCATCGAAAAAGCAAAAATTGGCCGACATGAAACGGTAAGTTTCTGTAGATATTTAATAATGACGTCTCTAAACAGATGTGTAAGATCACAGAGCTTCCCGTGAGGAGGGCGCGTGTGATACCAGAGGGCAGCGGATCACAGCACAGGACCCAGGACGTGAATATAGTATCCTTGTGGCCTTGCAGTATTTTCTAGTTAAATGAGCATTGACTTATTTTATCTTTGAAAGTGCAGTGTGTTTTAAAGTATTATGTTAGAGATTTTTAAGAATGACTTTCTACTGTCATCATCTCAAGAATGGATTTATTAAAAAATACTTTTAAGATACTGAAAATCAACATGAACCACTAAGCTTTTCACCTAGGCCTCTTCATCCCTGGTTGGAAAGAAAGGGACCCGAACTTGCTGCGCTGTGGCAAGGAACACACTGCAGGGTTGTGATGGCTTCGCTGGTTGGTAGTCAGCACAGTCACGGGTAGACCTGGAGGATGGTCATTTGTGTAGCATATTAAATTAAATTAAATTCTGGCCACAGCCCCAAACTGTTACAGTTTCTTCATTGACTGAAGTAATTACCATTCTTTATTTGGCCCTCTTTCTTCTTTAACACCGGCAATAACTTGCAGAAGCACCGTCAGCAAATGGTGCCATACGTGTGCCCCAAAGCTGTCAGCCAGTCCACTGAGTCACTCAGTCCACCGGAACAGTGCAGCTGGGGGAAAACCAACCAGCAAAGCTAGCTGGACCGTCTGGCTGTCAGAGGGAGGTAGTAATTTGGAAAAGCCCCTAAAATAGATGAAGTCTTGCCAGCCAGTATATTTCCAGAAATACCTGCCCGTCTGCGAGGTATTGTCCTTGTGATGTGGTGATGCTGCTGAAAGCTAGCTGGCAGGGACACTGAAGTCCCTGTGAGCCAGGCCAGTGCTTTCCTACATCCATTTCATACATTTATTAAACCCTGCCAGCACACCAAGGAGACCGTACCAATACTGTGTACATTTTACATTTGGGCAACTAGAGCCACAGGGGGTTCAATCATTTTGCAAAGATCTCAGTGCCACCAGGTGTGGTGCCGCACACCTGTAATCCCAGCACTCGGGAGGCTGAGGCAGGAGGGTGGTTGCAAGTTTGAGACCAGCCAGGGCTACACAGTGAGCTCAAGGCCAGCCTGAACTGCATAGTGAGACCCTGTCTCAAAAAGACCCCCCAAAAAAGACCTGTCTCAAAAACAGACAAAAAAAAAATCTCAGTGCCAGAGAGTGAGATGGCATCAATTCAGAGTGTGTGCTTCTCCTTTCTTCTTTAGCCTCTTCTGTTCTCTCTTTGAAGCATATATAATTTGGTGTTGACGGCAAATAATGATCACTCACTTACACAGTAATCCTTCACCTATTGCAGGAGTTACGTTCCAGAGACCCCAGCAATAGGTGAAAATCTGCAAAGTAGTGGTGTTATATTTATTTTATTACTTACATGTATTTTAAGGCTTTATAAACTTTTCCCACACTCCTGTGCACCTTCCCTGGGAGACCCTTCTTCCCAAAGCCTCGGCTTCCAGCTGGAGCAGCCCACCTGGGGACCCCTGGGTGAATCAGAGTCTCAGCTCTGAGGGCAGGAGGGGAAGAGGGGGCAGGTGGGGATGGAGGACGGGAGCGGGCCGGGGAGTGGGGTCAGGACCCAGCTGATCCATGCCCAGCGCCCAGCCCACACCGCTTGCCCAGCCCAGGCTGGCTTGTAGAGCGGGACAGGGGGCCAGGGGCGGTGCCATGCACCCTGGTTGCCTATAAGCAGCACCCACCCAACTCGGGTCCGCTTGCAGCCAGTGGCTCTGCCAGGCTCAGGCTAGTGGTAGTGGTGTACTGCATTTCCACTGTATACATTACAATATTCATCCACTGGTGAAATACATACTGTACAGTATTTTATTTCAATTTAATATTTTAATATGTTTAAATTAAGATTGTTTTATATTTTTATATGGTTTAAAGTTTTTAGGCAAAAGCAATTAAAATCATAAATATTATATAAATACCTGTATACCACAAAATGCTGCAATAGAGCGAAAACTTCGTGATACAGTTAGATTTTTTTTTAACCTGAGATACAGTGAAGCTGTAATAAGTGAGCTGCAATATAGCGAGGACGACTTTATTCTAGTTTTAAATCTATGCTATGCTAATACAGTACATACTTACTTTATGGAGCTGTGTACATTAAGATACAATTACATTGGGTTTCTCAGTCACCGGAGCCGTGGTTCATGTACTCAGTAGGCACATGCCTTAGAGAGTGCAGGTCTGGAACATGGCTAGCCTTGCAGAGAGCTCTGTTGGACCTTACTTCTCAAAGCATGCTGCTCTGTGTAAGCTCGCTCCTCTGCAAATGCCGGCAGAAGGAATTTTTCTTCACTTTGGAACCAAAGGGAGTAGCCAAAGGCAAGTTAGAAAAATATAGTACAAAAATACAAGGTAGCAAGGAACCTAAGTAGGATTTGGGCCACTTGGACTTGGATTTTTGTGTTAGGTTTTTCTTAAAATTCTTTACCATAATCTTTGTCAGCGTTCAATTTGTGTTTCGGGTTTCCCAACTATCAATTGAATACCCCTAGTACTATGACTTCTACCTGTTAGAACTACAGCTAAAAAATTCAAATGGTGTTTATTGGATCATAATGTATTTAAAAGATTTATTCTGGCTTACCCTTAAGGAAAATGGTAGGCCTCAAGGTATAATTCTGTTAATTCTGATATCTTTAATTATTAATAAAAATTAATAACCCTTTAAGTTTGAAAAATTATCTGGAACACTTCTTAAAGAAAAGTTGCAATAAACTATTACTTACATACATAAATACAGTTGTCTGCATTTGTGGTACAGTGGCAAGCATAGCTGCCTTCCAAAAGTAACACAGTCTTGTGAAGTTTTTCAAAACGCAGTATAATTGTTTTTTCTAATATACGACAACATGGTCATCTTTGAATTCATCCAGTTGTAATTGACAATCTCATCTATTTATGAACCTCCTATTCTACATGTTTATCTCCATTTTTCTATATAAATAGAAAATGCTTGAGGTTTCAAAGAAAGATAAGCATTGAGTTAGTTTCTACCCTGTGCCCATGTGTTTGCAGTCATCCTGGGGCCCCACAGGGGCCTGGTCTCGGGACCTGGGGATATCAGTCTGTGGATGCCTCAGTCCCTTATCAGTGGGACAGTATTTGCAGAGAAGCTGTGCATATCCCCTTGTACACTTTTTTTTCATTACCGAGGGTTAATCGTAGAGCCTTCACCTGGAGCTCCATCCCCAGCCCTTTTTTATTGTGAGACATGTTCTCGCTAAATCACTGAGTTTTCCAGGCTGGACTCCAGCCTTAGCTGGTGAGAGTGTTGGGTTATAGTAGTTTGCTCACACATCTTGCTCTTCATAAGCTTTAAATCATCTCTAGATTGTTTATAATACGTAATACAACATAAGTGCCATGTCGATACTTGTCATACAGTGTTATAACAGGAAATAACAAGAAAAAGTGTACATGTTCAGTAGAGATGTAAGTTTATTTTTGAATATTTTCAATCCTTGGTTGAATCTGTGAACACAGAATCTTCGGATATGGAGAGCTGACTGTATAAATATTGTATTAATGTAAAAAGCCTAGTATATATCATTGAGAAGAAATAAAGTGTTCATAAAGTGTATTGCTTTATAACATGTGGCAGTTTTTTTGTCTTAATTGTACATAAAATATTTTGAATTTAGGAAGAACGAACCATGCTAGCAAAAGAGCTTTCTTCACTTCGGGACCAAAGGGAGCAGCTTAAAGCAGAAGTAGAAAAATACAAAGAATGTGACCCACAAGTTGTGGAAGAAATGCGTAAGTTTGTACTGCACCTTGAGGGTCTGTAACTTAGACAGTGAACAAGATTTTGCATCTTTTGTTGCCTGGTAAGCACTCTCCATATATAGGAGAAAAGGAAGGCAGTTAAAATAGCATCGTGTACTATGTGCTGTAACTTTGTGTTTGTAGCATAAAAAGAAAATACTGTCATATTTTCAGTAAAGAGACTTAATGGTAAAGCATTTTAATACTGACAACTTTGAAATTAAGCATTTCAAAAGTAAGGAAAGTGAGTGGGATCAGAGGATAAAGACATAAAATATAAATTTAGGCAACTGAGAAGTCAGAGGAGGAGTTCATTTTGCCCAGCTATCTGGATTCTAGAAAGAAATCTACCATTACCTTTTAGGAAAAAAGATACCATAAATAGTAAGAGTTTGCAAGTTGCAAAATTTCTCTCCATGCATTGAATTGCCTTTGAAAATACAAGTGATTCCTGCCCCATTTTAAACAAGAGTTCCCAGCTCTTGAAATTTTATGCTTATATGTAATGATAGAAATTGGAACACTTAAGGAAATTAAAGTATGTGTAAATTTGTAGCATTTGATTGCTTGTGAAAATATGTGTAATTTTCATTTGTTTCTACTTTAATATGTCTCTAATTTAGGGAAGTTTACATAATGAAATTTAGAAAAACTGGTATTATAGAGTGGGATGGAAGGCTTTGAGAGAAATTTAAAATATTTGGTCCTGAAAATTTAAAATGTACCTGAGGGGCTGGGGATTTTGCTCAGTGACACAGCATCTGTCTGGTAAGCGTGAGATTGTGAGTTCGATTCCTGGTACCAAAAAAATTAAGAAATAAATAAAAATAAAATGTATCTGAGAATAGTTTGGTTACAGTTAAGCCAGGCTAGCCCTTGGTGGGATTTAGAATTTGAAAACATTGAAGCAGTTTTGTTAGCATGGTTCTACAGTTAAGCTTCAGTCTGAGACAGCCCCCCACTCTGCTCAACCCTAGGAGACGCAGTGCTCGTGTGCAGAGACCGTGCTTAGCAGTGATAGGCGCGGCCCGGAATCAGCTGATTCCCGAGTGACTGCACAGAGAAGGGCACAAGAACACCCTGAGCCAATCATTCTCTTCACATTAAATGTTTAGGGAAACACATCTTTCATGCTACCTACAGACATACTATCACCCTGCAGAAGAACTGCTCTCTCAGTCTGGTGCGACATTATCACTTTAACCTGATTGAAGGTTTTCACCAGTATCAGGTGAGCCCCAGTGAACCCAGCACATGTGGGAGGAGACAAGGTAGGAAGTTACTCCGGGAGGTTAGCTGGCTTGTGAGCCTCCGGGCATTACCTGCGTGCCTGCACTAGCACGCTTTGTGAAGGAGCACTGCAGTAGGTTTCCTGCTGGCGTTTGTACGCTCAGGTGACTGACTTTCAGGATCAGCATGGCTGTGCCCTTTGGCAGTTCATGACAAACCCCAGCTTTCCTGTCTCTAAATCTGATCTTTCATGCCTTACTCCTTGTGTGCCTTCCTTTTTTGCTTTTGTTATTTGGTTGTTTGGGCGTGAAGTTTTTTGTTCTGGTTTGATTTGGTTTTGCTTTTTGGGACGGGATCTCGGCAGCCTAGGCTTAAATTTGTGACCCTCCTGCCTTAGCCTCCCAGCTGCTGGGATTGCAGGCATCCACCACCACTGGCTTGCCTCCCTTCTTGATTGAAGTTTTGTGTAACCCTGGTACCGTTTCCTTGGATGAGCACCTCTACTTCCTGTCTCATTCCCTTCCTGCCTCATCCCATTTCTAGCCAGATTCAGTCAGCTTCCAAGTTTTCAACTCTGTGGTCTGCATGGAACTGCCACAGATGTTTCCTGGCAAGTGACCCCGACTGACCTCACCTCCATGTGTGACTTTCCATTCTCACAGTCCTTCTCAGATTGTGCTACCCTCTACCACTCAGGAGTCATTAAAACTTATTTGGCTTCTTACACTACTCTGCCCTGCACTGCTAGTGGCCACCACTGGGCCAGTTGGAGGTTTGGGCATGCACAGGGACCGAGAATTACGTAAGACTGATTCACCCAGTGGGAAAACTTACTTCAGGCGTGTAATTTAAGATACTGCCGTTCCTGCATCACCTCAGAGACAGGTAATAAAACTTGAAAGAAGGCATTTCAGGGTATGCAGAAGATTTTATGAAGTATGAAGTGGCATGTTTGAGGAGGAAGTTGTCACTGTGCAACCTCAGCTTACACCAGTTCCCCAAACTCCGGCACCATCATACCCCTGGAATTTAAAAGTTTGATAATTTACTTCCCAACCCCAGGAGCACATGCCAGCGTGAGTGAGTGTTATAAGGATACGAGGACTAAGTAAGTGGCGAGTAAATTTTCTAATTTTCAGTGAGTTAAGACTATTATTCTACATTAAGCTTTTTTTTTTTTTTTTTCTGAGACAGGGAGACAGGGTGTTACTATGTGACTCAGGCGGGCCACCTTGGCCTCAAACTCCAGGTGATCTCCCGAACCCTGAAATTAGAACAAATATACTTTTCCTTTTACTTCCTTAGTCCTCATATCCTGCATGATACTCACATCGGCACGTTTCCCGTGGGTTGGGAAGGGAATTACCACACTTGTAAATTCCAGGGGTACGACGGCGCCAGAGTTTGGGCATCCGGTGTAAAGTGAAGCTGCAAGGTTAACAGGCACGTGTCACCACACCCAGCTAGGCCTAGGTTATCTTTTAACAGTCATGTGCTCACGTGAAGTTGGATCTATACAATATTTGGATCCTGGAAATTTTATAATGATGGATCTGTTAAATTATTTTTTACTGGGAAATGAGAAGGTAAGGGTCTTTGCTCACTGGCTCTGTACAACTTTTTTTACTCCGTTAAAGAATATTATCTTTTTTAATGTACTTTAATTATAGAAAAAATTAACATTTCATACACAGCAGATGTATAGAATAATTACATTATTCCATAAATAAGGATGTAGATGTGTGGCAAGAATGTCTTTTATATGAAAAAGCGCTACAGTTAGGCTGGGATGTAGGTCAGTGGTGGAGCACTTACCTAGTACATATGAGGCCCTAGGTTCAATTCCCAGCACCACCAAAACAAAAATCGCTAAACTACCTTCAACAGGAAAAAAATCTGTCAAATTCTCCACAGCTGTGACAAGAATTTTTAGGCTAACTCCAGTTCATATTTTTATAGAGAAATGTCCAGTTCATCTGCTTTAAACTTTAGAACAGAAGCCGTAAAACTCCAAGTGCAGAACTTCTGCCAGTCCACGTAGAGTGGTGGGGGTTGGATTTAGTCTCCCTCCTTAAAAACAAACAAAATCGATAAAGCTGTGTTTTTAAATGTTCTGTATCAGTGAAGGACAGCGATTCTTGCAGAAGGCAAACAGCTGGAGAAGCCCTGTACTTGTCCCCGCTCCTGTCCCTGAGCGTGTCCTGGCCACGGCACAGGGGCCGCAGGCAGAGCCCTGCAGGCTGATCCCCTGAGTTGAGGAGATGAAACTGAGAGTAAGGAAGCCCAGCGTGAGCGAGCTCGCAGGACAGCGCACTAGAGGGAGGGTGCCAGCAAAGCTCCGGTGTGTCCAGTGGGGTCCCCACAAGGCGCTTGAGGACACTGCCCAAGGCTGGGCAGACGCAGTGGGATTCGAAGGGACGGTGCCAGGCACTCACTAAGGCTTCGAGTAGTACCCGTCTTTCACCAGCCAGACGGGGAGGAGGTATAATCAACAGGGCACTTAGCAGAGTGTACAAGAAAGTCGTGCCTTACAAGGAGGGAGTAACAGCTCTAGACTGAGCTCTTTTCTGACTGCTTACCGAGCCGTATGACCAAGACTTGAAAGCATCAATCGCCAGGTAGTGTAAGCACATACCAGAACAAAGCTCAAGAATATTTATAAAACATTAAAAAATCTAATATTCAACAAAACAAAACTTGTTATTTTTGGCATACAACTGAATATTACCAGGCTTGCAAAAAAGTAGGAAAACATCATTGAAAGTGAACAGAATAATCTTATCAATCCAAACTGGCCAGAAAATTGGAATTCGTAGGCCACCACATTAAAATAATTATGACTGTACTCCACATGTTCAAAAAGTAGAAAAACAGAAGCTATCAATGCCAAATGTCTTGATATGAAAACTATGATGTTTGACATGAAAAAGACAGTGGTTTGGATTAACAGCAGATTAGATTTTGCAGAAGGGCTCTTATATTCAAAGACATATCAATAGAAACTATCCAAAATGAAATAGAAGAAAAATTGAATATGAAAATGTCGTTCTTAGCTGGGTGTAGTGGTGTATGCTTGTAATCCTAGCATTGTGGGAGGCTGAGGCAGGCAAATCATAAATTCCAAGCCAGCTTGGTCAATTTAGTGACTTAACAAGACCCTGTCTCAAAATAAAAAGTAAAAAGGGGCTGGGTATATAACTCAGTGCAAAGGTCCTGGGTTCACCTCCAGTCTCACATACACATGCACACACAACTACCTCCACACACAGAGCCATCTGCGAGCTGTAGCACAGCTAATATATGTATAAGTGGAGTCTCAAAGAGAATTTGCTGGGCTAGAAAGATACCTGGAAAAATAAAAGCTAATTTGTTACAAATTTGGTGACAGGTACAAATCTAAGAAACTTAAATATTATAGTAATAGAAGCCAGAGATCCCCTTTTCACTAAATTGAGACAACTTTAAACTTTTACCTCTATTTACCCCTCCAAAGCCCCTTTTTCCAATGAAATTGTTGTTTTCAAATGTGGTTTTTTATAGATAGATAGATAGATAGATAATGAGGGATTTCATAGGATTTTTGCTATCATGTTAGGGCAAAGCAGATTATACCAGATTAAAGGATTATAAATTTTACAAATTGATTTGAATAGGATTTTGTTCTTAATAATGTCTGTAACACCCATATTATAACACTCAGGTTTTTATCTAAGTCTGTCATTGTTTATTTTGGAACTCAATTTGATAATAATAACCATAACCCTTTCTTCATATAGGCATGGCTTTGTATTATCTCTTACTTATTTCTCAATAATGCCTGTAAGAAATACTTATATTTCATCATGCCATTAGAATTATTCATAGCACTATGCAAACATTAGCATGATTAACTGTAAATATCCAGAAAGTAAAAGGAATAACTTATTTTAAAAGTAAAATTAGGGCTGGGGATTTAGCTCAGCGGCAAAAGCGCCTGCCTGGCAAGTGCAAGGTCGTGAATTCGGTTCCCGGTACCAGAGAAAAACCAAAAATAAAAAATAAAAAAAATAAAAGTAAAATTATAACTACATTATTTAAATAAGACCAGAGAAAATAAGTAACTAGTAGAAATTTAAATTCCCACAGAAATACTTAAAAGTAAATGTTAGAAGTACTCAAGAAATTTTCTTAAAAGTAAATGCCAAAGTTACAATAAAAATAGTAAATGAAGCATCTTTGAAAATTTGCCCTTCCATAAAAGCTCACAAAATTTGTTACGACTCTTTCAAAACTCTGGAAATTAACCAATGGCTTGCTAGCTTCATGAAAAATGGCTGACTCTCAGCAGGAAATAGTGAATTTTTGTAGTGTTTTGACTTGTGGGAGCGGTTTACACACTTGCGGGGGTTACCAGGGATGGAACTCAGGACCTGGCACTCGCCAGGCAGACGGTGTGGTGCTGAGCTCTATCCTCAGCCCCTGCAGCATATTTATAGAGTAATGCTGGGTGGCGGAAATGTCCATACGATTATCTTAAGTGGGTGAAATGAAGGTGTTTGATAAAATTCAACAGTCTTTTATTATAAAAAACATTCATCAAAGTAGGAACAGAAGTGAATTTAACCTGATCAAAGAGCATCTACAAAAGTCCACAGCCAACATCATGTTGAGCGGTGAAAGGCTGAATGCTCTCCCATCTGCGTCTACTCAGCACTTCTATTCAGCAGCGTGGCAGAAGCTTTCACTAGGACAGTGAGCCAAAAATAAGATGGAGAAAAGGAAGTAAAGAGCATTTATCTGAAAAGGAAGAAGTGGAATGGTCTTCATTTTTAGATGACATGCTCTTATGCATACATAGAACTCCTAAACAATATCCACACTGTCAGGATTTGTATCTAAATGTCCTCCCAAAGCCTCGTGCACTCATGGGGGGCCTTCGGCAGGTGACTGGATCGCAGGGCTGTGATGCTCAGCAGCAGGTTAGTCTACTGATGAGTCGGGAGCTGTGTGATTTGGGCAGTGCGGCCTGGGTAGAGAAGATAGGTCACCGGGCGCATGGCCTGGGAGGATTTATCTCTCCCTCCCCTTGGTTCCTCTCTGCTTCCTGCCTGCCCTGCCAGGCGCTGCTTCTCTGCCAAGTCCCACTGCCATACCGCCCAGCCTTGAGGCCAGCCGACTGCAGGCTGAAACCTCAGCACACGGAACCAAAAGAAACTTCTCCTCCTTAGCGTGTGGGTGTTGGATATTGTGTCTCAGTGACAAGAAAGTAGCTAAGATATAATCCCAACAAAAACTGTTAAAAGTAATAAGGTCAGCAAGTTACAAAATACAGAATCAGTATTTAAAATCTGTTTTGTTTTGCAGTACTAGGCCTTCACACTGAGCTACATCCCCAGACCTTTTTTTTATTTTTATTTGGAGACAGGTTTTGCTGAATTGCTACATTACCCAGCTGGGTTAGAATTTGAGATCCTATTTCAGCTTCCTAGACTGCAGGGATTACAGGAATAAGCCACAAGGCCTGGCTTTAAAAAATGGGTATTTCTGTATGCTAACAATAAACAATCTGAAAATGAAATTAAGGGGTTAAAAAAAATCCATGATTTTCCGTACTAACATCAAAATGCATAAAATCACCAGGAATAAAGTTGATCGAAGGAGAACTGTATTGAAAGCTATAAAACATTGTTGAAAAAAATTACAGATTTAAATAAGTGGAAAGACGTCCTATGTTCATGGGTTGAAAGATTCAGTATTAAGATGGAAGCACTTCCCAAACTGATCCACAGTTTCAGTGCCAAACATATCAAAGTCCCAGCTCCTTATTTTATAGAAACGTATAAGCTAATCTTAAAATTTATATGAAAATAAAGAAGAGCCAGGATGGCCAAAGGAATATTGAAAAAGGACAAGGTTGGAGGGCTCAAATTTCTTAATTGCAAAACTTATTTGTAGTCTATATTAATCAAGTCAATGTAGTACTGGTCTAAAAATAGAAATGTGGATGAATAGAATGGCATGGGATGGCACAGAGAGTCCACAAATAAACACAATTGATTTTCAACCATGGCAATGAAACCTTCAACTGGTAAAGAATGTTTTCAACTATTGGCGTTGGGTGCGGTTGGATCTCCACATGCAGATGAGTTAATCTGACCCCCACTTCACACCATACGTGAAGATTAACTCCCATGAGCTAACGATATAACATAAGATCTGGAACTATAAAACTCTTAGATGAAAACATAGGTATATATTGCTTTGGGCTTGAATTGGATACTGTTTTCTTGACTATGACATGAAAAACATAGACTACCAAAAAGTCTAAGTTGGATTTCATCAAATTAAAAACTTTTATAAGCTATCAAAGAGTGGGATTTACAATATTTGTAAATCCTGTATCTCACAAGTGTCTAATATCCAAAATATATAAAGTACTCTTATATTTCCACAATAAAAAGACAACCGAGTTTTTAAAATGGACAATGATTTGAACAAACATTTTTCAAAGAAAATATACAAATGCCAATACATACACAAAAACATGCTCAATATTAATTATTTGGAAAATTCAAATCAAAACCAGAATGAGATGCATCTTCACACTCAGGTTGGATTTTTTTTTTAATTAATGAAATGGAACTCTTACATTGCCAGTGGGATTGTAGGTACAGCCATATTGGAAAATAATTTATCCTTTGCCCAAAAATGACATAGTTAACAGGTGAGCTAACAGTTCCATTCCTGGATACATATCCAAGAGAAATGAAAACCTGTTCACAAATATTATGAAATTACTCATATTAGTAGAAACAACTCAAGTGTCCATCAGCTGGTGCACAATTTTTTGTTCCACAAAGGGCAAATCCACAGAGGTAGAACGTAGCTTAGTGGTTGATGGGGTCTGGAGAGATGGGGAATGTTGAGTAAATGCTAATGGGTTTAAAGTTGCCTTTTAGGTGATGAAAATAAAAATCCACTAAATTATATTAATATGATAAATTCTGTGGTAGGTAAATTACCTTTCAATCAAAAAATAAATGCCATCATTGTAAGCAATATATATGCATAGGTGCTCATGGCATTGTTATGTGCTGTACAGATAAACTTGAAAGACTGTGCACAAAGATACACTTAATAACAAGATACATATTTAAGTATAAATAAATGTGTGCTCCTAGAAGGCTACTTTTTTTGTTTGTTTGTTTTTGTCTTTTTGAGACAAGGTCTCATTATGCAGTTCAGGCTGACCTTGAGCTCATTTTGTAGCCCAGGCTGGTCTCAAACTGGCAACAATGCTGCCTCAGCCTCCCGAGTGCTGGGATTACAGGTATGCACCACCACGCCCAGCAAGGCTACTTTCTTAACCCTAATCTTTTTTAAGGTCAGATTTAAAGAAGTAACTACAGTTATGATAGACATTTTGGAGATAGATATTTTGGAAAGGGAAATTGTTCACATTGACTTTCTATTTATTGCTAATAGAACTGCAACTATCTAAAATTTTCTTGGGATTTTGACCAGGTGTATATTCCACTATTGGAGTATATTCCACAGTGTTATTCCACTATTTGAGCCTTTTTTCCCAAAACCATTGTGTGTGTTTTATAAAACATACATAAAAATTTTGTAGGAAAATAGAAATCTGTAAGAAAACAGGTAACTTTATGTATGTAAATAATTAAATTCAATTTTATATATCATTTTTTAGGTCAAGCAAATAAAGTAGCCAAAGAAGCTGCCAACAGATGGACTGGTAGGTATTATGACATTGCTAACATGCAGTAAGGCTTGTTCCCCATTCACGGTGATGTGAAATTCTGATGCCTTGGTGCTAGCTCTGTTCAAGAAAAGATATTTCTGGAAATGTATGCATTGGGTCATGTTTTTGTATATGAAATTTTTCAGTTACTTAGGGTTAGAATTATTTTTTTAATCTTATGATTCATTTTATAAAGGTATAGTTTTATAAAACAAGTAATTGCTTCCAGTTTAACTTTTGTGTAGCTTCTTCCAAGAGAAGTCACGTCGGCTAGTCATTTAACTTTCATATATATCAATGAAACATACAGTTGAAGTTTCTTATGTATTTTCATGTAAAATACACCCTTACGAGTTTAGTGGAACCTACAGAGAAGTTCCTGAGAACACTAAGAGCAGCTAACGCCGGCTGAGGCTGCTTGGAAGGTAACAGCGTGGGTGTTTGTGGCACCATCTCCACAGAAACCCTGCGAGGCAGGCACCCCTCCTCCCCTCGTTTTGAACACCAAGCTAAACCTCACAGTCCAAGGCCACGCACACTAGGCTGTGGACCAGAGTTAAATCCGGTGCCTGGCAGGCACAAGGTCCTGAGTTTGATTCCCCGTACCAAAGGAAAAAAAGATAAAGGGATGAATCCGGTTTTTCTGTTTCCAGAGCCCGAGCTCTTACCCACTGCTCCGTGCCATCTTCTGTGGCCTGCTTCCCTGCAGATGCGTATTAAACCATGTGCTAATGGGAGCGCTTTCAGATCTACCCCAGAGACATTCTGAGAAATGAGAATTAATGAGGCATTGGGTATGTGGCTTAGGGTTAGGAGAAAGTTAATAGATAGTGACTACTGTGATTAATTCTGTTAAAACCTGCCAGAAATTGTACGATGTTTTTTCAGTATTTAATTATAAAATAATGGTAATTGAATTTCTCCGTTCTGGTGAGAGTCTTGTAAAGGCTTCACGTGTGTCAGTCACCCTCGTTATGCTTCTGTGGGAGAATATGGGTGAGCCGGAAGCAGAGATAGAAAGTTTAACGTGACTTTGTGAAGTCAGAGGGATTAGTCCCTGAAAGGACAGGTTCTGTGCTAGATTTTCCTGATACTCTGGCCAGGCCTGTGTTTCACAAAAATCTTAAAAATCATTTTTTCTAGTCTATTTTAGAATTAAACAGATTGGTAAAATCAAATTGCCCCCTCCTTACCATCTTACAGGTTGTAATCTTAATTATTACAGTTAATTTCCCAAACAGTATAATGCTTCAGTAAAGAACAGAGGAGGGTTCCGAAGAGCAAATTTACATTAAAGAAAAGAGAATAATGAAGTCTGTATCTTACATGGTACAAACAAGCACTAAGTGCAGTAACACTGTGCGGGTTTGAGAAATAGAAAGCTTTGAGTGCCACAAGAGTAGCGGGGGGATTTGAAGTTAAAGATAGGACCAAAGTCACGAGGAGATTCCCGCGGACTTCTCAACAAGGCACGTCCGACAGCTGGAATGGGGTGTGTGCGCGCGCGTGTGTGTGTGCAGGGAGCCTGGCTTTGAGAGGAGTCCAAGCGGAGCGCGCGCCTGCCGTCCGACCCCTTGAACTTTGCCTACTTCCTCCTGTCCTCTGCGCTGCGCATAACCTGTGCCTCGCCCTGCGGGAGGCCAAGCCAGCCGTCTGTGAGCTCCTCCGCACGTCAGGCCTCCAGCAGTGCTCTCCTCCCCTCTCCCCAGTTCATCGGTGAACTCCAGGTGTTAAATAAACAATTACAGTTGTGTTCCAGGTCATCCCAAACTCCCCGAGTTATAATACGGTTGGCGGGGCGCCCCACCCCCACCCTGTGTTCTTAGCTGCAGAAGAACCTGGAACTTTTTAAAGCCTGTGGAAGGAAGATATTTTTAGTATAGCAGAAACAGCTGTTACGAACTGTATTTCCACTTGAGCTTACTACTTAGTCTTTCCAGCATAAACACATGTTGTGAAAAATGAAGATAGGAGATAGAGTGGATTACGCCTCTGGAAACCTCCCTGTCTTTAAAACAAATACTAAATTATCAGTATTACTTGTAGCTAAACATTATCGTATAGCTACCAGTTAAAAGTTGGTTTCCTTTTATATAATAGAGGCCTTAAAATGTGTCTAGAATTGAGTATATTTCTTGTTTAATAATTCAGTTTCTCGGGCTGGGGATATAGCTTAGCAGATAAGCACTTGCCTGGCAAGCCTGAGGTCATAAGTTCAATTATCGGTGTAAAAAAAGAAAAAAAAATTCAGTATCTCAGTTTTATAAAATGAAAAATCACCTCAGGATATGAATACAGAAATATGACATTCAGTGTTTTCTGACAGTACCTTTTAAATACAAGTTAGCAAATTACATAAAATCTTAATAGTTACGCTAACGGAGATACTCATTGCTTGTGTTGCGATGCTGGGTGCCGGCCCAGGGCCTGGCTCGTGGGCTGTCCCCTCTGTACCCTGCACAGTATGGCTGGGTTTTTGTAAGCGCACGAGAGGCGTCTTAATGTGTGGGGCGAAGATGCTGAGAGCCGCCTGCACGGCGCATCGCAGGTGATCTTTGAGCGGCCTGCTCCATTCTGTGCTGGTCACGCAGCCATCTAAGTTAGGAGGAGTTCTACCTGTCCTAGGGTTGCTTCTGTGAAAACAAAATCTTTCTGTATCCATTTATGAAAATGTCTGTATAACAAGAAGATTATCTGACAGCAAATGAATTGTCAAGCTTGTGGCTTGATCGTGTTAAACAGGACCTCCAACGGCCCAAAAATATCTGATGAAGCGCCTTCTTTGAATCGGTCCACTAGGCAGTGTTGCCAAGAGGTTGTATTTGTTGGTTCTTTTGTGCATTTTTAAATCTTGGAAGGCTTATAATAAGGTACTTTCTTGTCTTTACGTGAACCAGAAACTCCTTCCGGCAGAGGCTGTTGAATAGCCTCAGCTGGTGCTTCGTTTTCTTCTCCTGACCCAGGTTCGCAGTCTCTTCCCTGCAGTCTTTCAGTGGTGTTACCTGAGTTCTGTCATTTCCTGGAATTCATCGAGCCTGTCCTGAAAGCTATGCACATAATACTTCCTCTCTGTCTAACACACACATCAGGTCAGAATTATTTGGTAATAAAGTAATGATCTGTGTGTGTCTGTGTGTGTGTGTGTGTGTGTCTCTCTTTTTCTCAGCAGTTGGAAGACCTAGGTTCCTTACATTCTGAGACACCTGTAATACACGTAAAGCTTGTCTCCTGTAGCAGTGAGCCTCTGTAAGCGCTGCACTGTGATTGGCAGGAACGTACTGACTGCAGACGCTGGTAAAACTAAACAGAGTCCTGGGGCCTTCATGTTGTTTTAGAATTCTCACTTGTTAGGGAAGTGAAGATTTCTTTGAGATTGTTACAGAGGGCAAAGATTCATTTTAGTATCTTTTGACATCCCATTAGTCTTTAATGGAAAGAAACAATATTTCATTAGCAATATTTATTCTATTTGAGGAGGCAGTATACACTTTGGAAATAAACTTAAGTCCAGAAATGTCATTATTTGGAATTAAACTTCCTTAGGAACAGTACCATTAAAGAATGGCCAAAGCCTGTGTGTTAACTCGCTAATGACACCAGAGCAAAACGCCACAGAGTCCTTTAAACAACAGAAGTGCATTTCCTCCGCGTTCCGAACAGACAGCATTATCCATCCAACCTGGAGTGCAGAGCGAAGGTGTCAGCACGCCTCGGCTGATGTGAGGCCTCTCCCTGGCTTGCCGGGAGCTTTCCTCCTGCGTCCTCTCGTGTCCTTGCTCACTGTGGGTCCCCGGCGTCTCGGCATGCTGGACTTCGCTTTATTGTGAAGATAGCAGTCAGCTTGGATGGGGCCCATTCTAACCATCTCATGTTAAGTTAACCACGTTTTTAAACATCGTATCTAGTGTAGTCACGTGCTGAGGTAGTGGGGCAGGACTTCACACATGAGTAGGGGCACCAGAGGGTGACTTAGGCTGCCCACACTCACACCTTCATTATCACTACAAACCAGGGCTTAACAGTCCTCAGAATACCCTAAGGCAGGAAAACTTCTACCATTATTTTTCCATGTGCATAATACATTTTCATTATAAAAGTTTTATATGGCCAGGCATAGTGGCACATGCTTATAATCCCAGCACTCTGGGAAGCTGAGGCAGGAAGATCACAGTTTGAGTAGTTTAGCAACTTAGAAAGACCCTATCTCATAGTAAAGAATAAAATTTTACAAGTGCTGGGGATATAGCTCAGTGAGAAGATTTTGAGTTTGGTCCCTAGCCCAAAAAAAAAGGTTGTACATAAACATTAAAAAAATGTGTGAATGTGAGGAACTCCACTGTCCTCCCACTCCCTGGTGCTCTGTGAGCATGTTGGAGTTGTCCTGTACCCCGCAGCCTGCACATCATGCCCTTCCCAGTGTGTAGACATTTAGGTGGGTTTGTTTTATTTTCTTCTATTATTGCACTGGGATAAAGATCTTGGTCAAAAACCTTTGTGCACAATGTTTTCTTTCCTCGGGATAAATTCCTTTAAGTAGATCGAATGCTTTTTCAGTGGCAAATACATTTTAATGGCATGATGACACGCCCGCTCCTGTCTTAGTCTTAGGAGGACCCTCTCCCTCCTAATTAGTCCCCGCCCCCAACTGGCTGAGGCTGGAAGCCGGTACTCTGGGTGGAAGGAGAAAAGACTGGAGAGGACATGCCCCTTTGGGAACCAGAGACCCTGACTCCTAGCGTAAGAGTCTGGCCTCGCCCAGAAATACAGAAGAGATGCCATTTACTGCTCCTGTCGTTGTGTTGCCCTTAAGGTAGGTTTCTTTTATCTGTAATTACTGCCATTACTCTTGAAAATAGTGAACTTATTTTAATACAGCTGAAAGTAGTTAAATGAACGGTGAGGATACTTACCTTTGAGATACTTTATGATTGTTTTTAATTCTCAAAAATATTTTTCTGGTTTTTTACAGATAATATATTTGCAATAAAATCTTG